GATAAATATGAAGGGTCAAAAGAGGACCTTGCAATCTCCACAAATGGTGAGTGAATTATGATTTCTGGCAACTACACAACAGATGTTTTGGGACTCAAGAGATTTCATTATGCAAACCCATTCTTTCTCTTCATTGTTGCCGATGATTCCCAACTGTCCGTCTTCTCCAGAGCCCATGAGAGGAACATAACAAAGGATGAGTGTTATCACATGGTCTTCTCCAAACCATGCAATAATGCCGGTGTTGGAAGCCATATAAGAGAGTATAGAAAGAGTTCTTAAAGTAGAGTAGAAGTCGCCGAAGGAAGAATGTAGTGATTTATGGGTGCGCCCTAAGTCACATAATTCGCTCAAACCACTGGCGCTCCATCGCTCCGCACGCAAATTGGCATTTTGAGAGCGAATTCGTCAAAAATTCACGCTCTCGTGTTTTTGAATTCGAGAATTCAATTTAAGAATTCGCTGGTTTTTAAAGTTCAATTCGACGAATTGTGTAAGGTAAAGTCGCGTATTTTGTTCAAGAATTCGACGACTTTTGACAATAAATTCACGAATTTAGTGTGAATCTTGAGAAATTTCGATTTTACCCCCAACTTAAATAGACCAAATAAGGTTAATTATGTCAAAAAGTAATCAATTTAATTTAATTAAGTAAACTCTGCCCTTTATAGGTAAAAATCAAATAATATAACAATATACTTAATATTTAATAATACTTATTTATTAGTAAAGAAATAAATGAATAAATAACTTTTCATATTCTGATTGTGTTTTCTCAATTTTCTCTTGCTATTAAGTGTTGGGTTCATGATTCTTGAACTTCTTTCACTAGTAATTGACTCTTGATTCACTCTTATAGTCTTATTTTCGTTCCATCATTTCATATTCTCTTTGCTATTTCATATACTTTTCATATGCTTTTGAACATTGCTATTTCAAAGACAATAATTGTCATCTTGAGAGTTTAAAGCAGGTTAAATGTATAAAAGACAATGTTTTTGAACATTGCTTTTTCTATTATGCCCTATTCATTGTTATGTTTTTATTTTTACAAAGCAGCTTATTTGATTGTCATGTTTGTTAATTTATGCATTTTTATAAAGTAGGTTATATTTGGTTATAATGGACTCATATTTGATTCACTATTTTGTCTTTTTATTTGTATGAAATTTATTTAAAACATATATTTACTATTATAAATTAATATTTTGTATATTTATAATGTGGTGCTCCCGCTGTAAGATTTTTTAAGATATGCCGCTCTCGCTCTATGTGACTTAGGGTGCACCATTAATCCAAATTAAACATAATATCAATCTTTTCACAAAAATAAAAAAAAAAAATTAAAAAACCCAAATCAAAACCCTAAAAAACTCAGTCTTTCACCCAACACAAAAAAGAAAATGAATTAAAGAATTGATGCTTGTCTTGGCTATTTTTATTTGTGTGTGGTACAGAATCCTAAATTAAATTTTATGATTAGGAGGAGAGAGAGCTTTGTTCTCTTCTGTCAGGATGAGAATTTGGAAAAAGATGTTTTGAGGAAGTTTCAAATTTTAAATGGAAAATGAAAAGTTGAGAATAGCTGGCACCAAAGACCAATGAATAAATATTGTATATACACTCTGTATGAAGAAGTTGTATATACTGAATATGGTAAATATTATTTTCGCTCAAGCACTTGTATATACTATATACTGAATATGATAAATATTATTTTAGCTCAAGCGCCATCTCAGCAATTTTACTCTCGCTTGACACCTTCCAGTGAGAGACGCAAAGGAGACAATTTTTGTCCGTGATGACATGATTTTTCGTACAAAGACCTGCCACTAATATTTGTACTCATGTCTGAAGCACAAATATCATATTGAAAAATGCTATCAACGATTTCTTCCTGTTTTTGACAAACAAAGTCTTGCAAGAAGAAATTTGTAGAAAAAACATATTAGTAAAAGTGCAAAATACTTTACGAATCTTTCGACAAATGAGCAAAATATTTCATGAATTAAAAAAAAAATGGGCAAGTCACTCGTAATACTTTCAAGAGTGAGCACATTGACCCCTGACACAGACTTCCTGCTGTTTATGTATAATTACTAATTTACCCCGACACATTAATATAAAAAAATAAAAATAAAAATGCTAAATATCATAAATGTCCTCATATGTGTATGTATATGTGTGTGTATATATATACACTTCAATCAAGGACGAAGGGGTGTATCAGCGGTTGGGGACCGGTGGGTATGGTCAGAACCTACCTGTACGGCTATATATCAGTTTAAGGAGCTTCACAACCCACCTTTAAGAGGAGGGTAAGTTTAAACCCACCTATATATATGGCCATTCAATTCCTGCAATCACTGCACCTGAAATCCTGCAATCACCGCCAAAGGCACCCAAAGTCTTCAAAGAACGCAACTGATCATGATCTTCAACTCCGATTGAAATCATTTAATTTCTTTCTTTTTGTAGATTAATTTCTGAAACTTTGATGATTAATTAATTTTTGTTTCATAATTGTTGCAGCATTCCAAATCTGAGAATTTCAATGCGTTCATACTATATCTTACAATGAACCACTTTGACAGCTACATGTCGTATCAGGAATTGCCGGTAATTTAATCGGAAACAGAGTAGAAACTTTAGTTTTAGAAATCTTCTTTTCTTTTCTTTTTGTGATATGTTGCCTAACAACTGCTTGGAAGACGAAGGACTTATGAGGATTAAGTCTTTCTTAGTTACTAAATTTCTGATAAACTCATAATCTATTCGCAAGATTCATTTATTAAATATAAATGTATCACTAATAATTGATGATCACGATATATGAGAATACGGATATTGAAAAAATGGAGTTTTATATACTCTGGAGACTAAAACATAGCGAACCCGATGCTTGACTCTGAGATGCATGACTTGATTTGTAAGCTTTGTGAAATTAGGTTGAATTAGATCATGATCTTGAGATTGACTGTGAAGGAGGGTATATATATATATATATATATATATATATATATATATATTATTCACCTTACCATAATTAAATTAGAAATCTCTATATATATATATATATTTATATTGATGTGATATTTTGCTTGTGAACTTGGTTGCAGTTGGTGTTGAAGAGGGAGAGCAGTAAGGAAGAAGACGTGTTTAGTGTGACTTAGTAAAAAGGGCATAATTGTCATATTGAAGGGTAGAATTGTAATTATATACAAAATATAAGTCACGTGACTCAACTATTCATCGGAAAGTAACCACAGGTCACATCTAGGGGGCTGTGCTCACTTTTTAAAGTACTATGAGTGAAGTGTTCACTTTATTAATTCTAAGTAAATATTTTGCTCATTTGATAAAAGATTAGGGAGATATTTTGGCACTTTTGCCAAATATATATTAAGATTGAAAATGGTAATGGTCAATATCATATAGTCTTGGACAATGAAAAGTGGCAAATCTAGAAGGGCAACATATTTATGTCTTTGCAAATTGTTAATTTGAAAAAATGAAAAAGTTATACAAACAAATATGTAAAGTATAGATGTAGTCTTTGCAAATTTAATAAATGGATTAAATTTTCATCTTGCATCAAGATTTTTGGAGCAATTTTTTTCTTCAATCTGAGTTATTAATTAAGGATCAATATTGTTTTACATTGACAATAATGTACTCTTTTTCTGCTCACTAAACGTAAAAAGTATACCAAATCCAAGTGCTCTCAAACATTTGCAATAATAGTATAAAAAATAGGGACAATTGAAGAAAACACCCCTAAAGTATACTCCGCGTATCACTTTTACTCCCTATTTGAAAAAGTGTGCAAAAAATACCCTTAATCTTTTCACATTGTGCCAAAATACCCCTCCTGACATAAATTAGTGTTGTAGTACCGTTTTGCACTTTTACTCTTCTAAAAATGCTCAAGGGGGCATATATACTACTAATCTCATAGTATAGGGGTGTTATGTGCACATTAACTTCTTCTTCTTTTTTTGAAACTTTTTCTTCTCAATGTTCTCTAAACTTTTTTTTTTAGAAAAAAAACAAAAATTTGAGAATTTGTAGAACAAGGATTTGAATTTGTTAAAATTTCACTTAACTATTTTTTACTAATTTTTTTTTCTTTATTTTATTTTTTTTCAAACAGAAAAAAAAGAAAAAAATCTCAATATAAGTATGCACTGATTTTCGGAGTTTGAAGCAAATTTTTTTTTCTTTAGTTTGCACTTTATTTTCGTTTTTTATTTTCTATTTTTATCTTTTCTTTACTTTTATACTTTTTTTTTTTTTTTTTACTTGTCCATTGCCGACGTCCTCCAATAATGTCATTTTTAGCCATTTTACACAATTATTTATTTTTTTATATTTTATAAAATGGTCAATAAGGGTAATTTAGTCAACTTAGAGTTAAAATTTGTCAGAGATTCAGTCATTTTTAAAAATTATTATTTTTATATATTTTATAAAATAATTCAATGTGGGTAACTTAGTCAACTTAGAGTTTAAATTTGTCAAATGGACTTATTTGTACCAAATTAAAACTTTAAAGGGTATTTTTTACAGGATATAATATGCACGCATACTTTAGGACGTTTTCTGCACTTTGAACCTAAAAAATAAGACTTTGGTCAGCCTCTCTCACGCACGCTCTGATAACACATTGACTCCCTACTGGAGTAGGAGTGGCCTCACATTCAAAATTGCCAGTTCGAAACACCACCTTCCCATGACCATTGGCATCCCAGTTCCCAAATGCGTACATAAGAAGAATCTAGTTCTCAAAAGCCAACAAAACAGTAAGCTTACCCTAACCGCTGGCTGTATGTGAATCATTTCTTAACATTTTGATATATTTATAAGTTCATGCAATGGAGGCTGCATGTACTGCAATGCATTCAAAATAGTTCCAAATTTAAAAGTTGATACGGCACTGTAGTAAACCTTTCCCATTCTCCCTCACACTCCACTAGTTTGTCAACTATAAGAACCATGGGTTTAAAGCACCCTGATTTATAGGGGTAAAAAAATTGAATGAGCAAGATAGAATTCTGTTTAGTGCAACAGCAAAAAGGAAAAAAGAAAATAATGAATGGCAACTCCGGGCATCATCTAACAAAATTCCGAGCAATCTTGTCTATGATACAACAATGTACAAAACTCCTCAACTCTGTGATACTATCAGTTCATCAGTAAATTGGTTCATTTTGATAAGCAACCGTTTATTAGCCAACTCGCTGACAGAAAGTAGACAAGATGAGAGTACACTGTCACAGTCCGCACGGAGGTCATCTAGACACCAGTAGTCAGAAATCCATTGAATTTCTTTATAAGGTAATAGTGTATCTAGCTGCTTTTCAAACTCCAAGTTAGCCAAAAAGCATCCAGAAACAGGCTTTGTCAATAGGCCAGAATAAAACCAATGACAAAGTATTACCAATGCATCCCAGCTAATCGGAACCTTGATAGTCTTCGATTTGCTGCAAGATATAAAATATTTCAGACTTAAAATAATAATAGCAATAATCATAATTAAGTAAAAAATACAAAGTGCAACTCAATTTAATAAGGCTTTTTATTGATTGGGAACAACAATGTGAATTGCAAAAAAATAAATTATAATAACAAAATAATATAAAATATAACATCAGCGAATCAGCAAATTTTAAGGCATTTCAAGTGCAGATGAAGTGAAAAATTATCAATCTAAGAAAGGTTGAGCAAGCATTAGTAAGATTCGACTCCATCGTATATGAGGTTCAGGTATTCTACATTGATTACCAGTCATCAATAAAAAAATGAACATTGTTTTCCAATCCTTGGAATCCCATTTAAATCGTTTCTAGGTCACACGAATGAAGAAGTTCAAAAGCAACGTGCCTATGGAAGCATGCTTACAATAACGTAAAAACAAATTACAAATAAACATGGGAAAGACTTGAATTAAAGGAGAAAAAGGAAACTAATTTAGGTCCCCAACAACCACACCCCCCCCCCCCCCCCCCAATGAAACCCCATTTCATGCATAAATTCTCCATTTTTGAACTTATTAAGGACTGTCCAAACAGTCCCTGCACCTGTGCTCAAAACAGCCCCAAAAGCTGTCCCCAAACAGCCCTCAATTCTGATGCCAAATGTAATACCTCGATAATTTAAAAGATTTATTAATTGGGATTAATGAATTTTATTTTATTTTTAAATGATTTATTTTATTTAATTGAGTGTTTAGATTAATTATCTCATTTTAGTTAGATTTTATTTTGTGATTATATATTTATTGAATTGATATGATGATTGATGTGTGTGTATTTAATTATTGATTGAATTGTGGCGTATTGATATGATGTGACTTAGTTGTAAATTCTTATTTGTTTATGTGTTTTATGTAATTAGTATTTTAATTTAAGTATTTATTTAATTATTTTATTTATTTAGATTAATTGGTTTGGGCTTAAGGAATGTTGGACCAAAGGATATGGTCTTGGGTTTGGATCAAGCCTTGATGGGTTAATTAATAAAGGCCAATGGGTATTTGATTATTTAAATAATCATTTTTATTAATTTAATTATATATAAATATAATTAATTGATAAGTGTTACAGAAGGATATAGGTTTATGGATATATATATATAGGATTTAGGATTTAATTAACCGATGGTTAATTATGGGAGATATATATATGCATAAGTAATATAATATATGTTTATATATATATATATATTATATTATTTAAATAATATTAGTTTATTATTTTATTTTGTAATCCTACTAGGAATAGGATTTAGGGTTTAATGTGTATAAATATACACATAAGGTTTAGGATTAAGAAGTTTTCATGTTAGAAAAATAAAAGAGACAAAGAGGGAAGAAGAAGAGAGAACGGACAAGGAGTAGGCCGGATTTGAGAAAGCGGATACCGAAATTGGAAGAGACAATCAAAGGTTAAAGCTTCGATTTCGTTTCGAAATCTTCAGGCAAGTTCTCTCTAACTCTCCTCTTAGGACCCATAAATTTATCACCTTGGGTGCTAGAATTTAGTTTAAAGTCATTAATTAAATCATGTTAGATCGGAAAAAAAAAAAACAAACATAAATTATTATATTTAATTTGTGGATTCGTTGGATTTTAATTATGTATATAGGTGTGCATATTGTTTAAAATTAAGTATAGGTTTGATTTGTGAACCAAGAGGGTTAATTATAATTTCTGGAATTTTTCTAGGATTTCTGGAAATTTTTCTATATTTTTCTGGATTTTATTTATATTTTTCTGATATTTTGGAAATTATATATATAATTATTTATGTGTATTATATATATATATATATACATTGTATACACTGGAGGCTTCAAATCGGCGCATTAACATAGGGTCTTAATCTGGTGCGGCGCGGCTCATTGTATTACTGTGCGCGCGGACCATGAAGGGCTGAGATGATTTGAGGAAGTGGCAGATAATTGGATGCGGTGCGGCGCATGATAATATGGTGCACCCGCTGATCTGGACCGTTGGGTGGAGTGGATGAGTGAAGGATGATCCAGTGCTTTGCGGAGCATAGAGATTTGATGCGCTTATGCATTAAGGTCGTGGATGAGTTTTGACCAATAGAAGATTGATCTAGTGTGGGGGAGTACACCAGAGCGTAAAGGGCAACCAATCAGAGGCAGCCACACACGCGCCGAGAGTGGATCAGGCGCGTGAGGGCGCATGGAAGCTCCTGAACGTGCCTGCCAACTAATAGAAGCGCGTGGAGGCGCGTGCATAAGTTGGAGGAGCGTGTGACGGCGCGTGGAGGCGCGTGCAAGGGAGTTTGAGGTTCCGTAAAGTTCCTGTGGGGTCCGGTGAATTTTCAGAATATGTTTTAAGCTTATTGGGGTTGAAAACAACCACTAGAGGAGGTGTTCTTGGTATTCTGAAAACCGTAGAGTGTTACTACGAGGATTAGTAGCATTTCTTTTGAGTAAATATAATAATTTATTATATTGTTATGGAAGGATGTGTATATATGTATATATAAGTACATATATATTTACCTATATGTGTGTATAAAAGGGATTTTATTAAGTTATGATTAGCAAGGAAGGAAGGATGTATATATATATATATATATATATATATATATATATATATATATATATATTAAATAACCAAGGGTTATTAGGGAAAGATTATACACATATATATTATATTAAATATGTGTATATATATGTATGTGAATTAAGATTATTAGTATTATTCTTTCTTATTTGATATATTTGGATAGACTGGGTATTAAGTTAGGTATGTGCTTATAATCAATAGGGGATATCTATGTATAAATTAGTTATTGTTAAACTTACAATTTGTACATGGATGAGTTGTCACAGGCGTAATTATATTGCCTAGGTATTTGTATGAATAAAAATATATACATCGGAAGCATGGATGAGTTGCTAGGTTATTAGTATAAGTATATATACTTAGAGGAGGCATGGTTGAATTGCCACATGTATAAATAAATATATTTAAAAGAGGCATGGTTAAATTGCCAAATGTATAAATAAATATACTTAAAGGAGGCATGGTTGAATTGTCAATATATAAATAAATATATTTTTAATGGCATGGCTGATTTGCCAAGGTTCAATTATTGTTATGTGTTAGATGATTAAAATATATCATCTATGGATACTGCATGTATAGGTTGGATTATGATTAATTAGATATTCTTAAATTAGAATAGTCTAATATTTTCAGGATAGTATATTATTTTATACATGTTAACAAAATATTACTGATGGTGACATGGATGATTTGTCAAAGCCTAGTTGTGTGATTTAAATACTTATAAATGATGGTTTTGGTCTAGGGATGATTAAGAATTAATCGTTGGTGAATGGTTTAATCAAATTAGTGAACCTATTAATTGATAGGATTACCATTTTATATAAAAGTTTTTATATACTTATATTAAAGGTTAAAACTTTAATTAGGATGATTTTGGTTAGAGATGCTTTATTTATTGGTTTTCAGAGGCTTGGTAGAGGGAACTTGCTCGTGGGTCTAACCCACGATTTATTTTTCAGGTTATTAGAAGTTCCAGTCTCAAGGTTGAGAATCCGCAGCTGGGAGACTGTCATTCATCTACTCATCTTGTTTACCTTTAATTAGTATAGTTAATTATTGTTAAATGTTTTGTATAAACTGGTGGTTTATAAGATTTTGGTTTAGGGGTCCTTAACTTATGGGATTCCCGAGTTGTATAATATTTTCAGAATTTGAAACTCATGGAAATATTTTTGTAAAAGAGATTTTATTTTATTAATAGAATTCTATTCAGCGATTTAATCATTTTTTTTTATTCCTCTTGTATTCTGTGTTCGTTTAAGTACTATATTATTTTGATATTCTCGCATTTTCGGGTGTGGGCCTGGCCAGCCTACACGTGGAAATGTGGGGATATTACACCAAACGAGCTTTAATTCTGTTTTCCAAACAGCCTACAATCTGTCCCAAAACAGTCCTTAATTGTGTTTCCAAACAGCCCACAAATCTGTCCCAAACAGTCTTTAAACCTGCTTCAAGGGCACTAAAATGGGATCTAAATGAACCTTAAACATGCTTCGAAGATGGAGGGGTACATATAACATAATGAACTCGAATGAAGCGCAAATACATGCATTCTTTACCAAGTTTAAGCATCTAAAAATCATCCATCAAGTACCTTCATGCTAGGATCATGAACATGGTTTTGACATTTAAAGCATGCTATTTCACTAATGAAACAAGTGTCACCAAAGGAACTACATACGTGGAAGATAAAAGGGTATGGCATTCTTGGCCTCATTACAAACCACATGAGACAATAAAAGATAACAAGAAGTTTAAGTTACAATCAACAGGACCAAGAGGAGGAAATCATGAGAGAACCCCAAAATGAATGTCAATGGGTTCCCACACCATTTCTCTCTTTCCGGAACACAAGATCATGGGTCGAAGGTAATATAACTTAACTACTTCAAATTACATCAAGCTATCTACATCACATTGCATCAATTAAAGTCTAGCTTCCAAAAACAAGTCCCAAGGTCCATGATGACCTGCGCCGCATACGGAATGTGTCCTTTTCCTCAAAAGATAATTAAGGTGAGCAATGATGCCCAGTAGATGATGACTAAGCTATCTGCCCTATGGTCATGCAAGTCATTCGGCCCATTGACATTTTATAAGCAAGAAAATCCTAAGGGATCACGCTTCCCAAAATAAATGATCATCATCTAATAATTTAGAAATGCAATGAAGTGCCAATGCACGAATGAACTCACACATGACAAAGTCATACCCCATTTCATGAAAACATTGGATTGATCGTACTCGCACCAAAATACGCGCCGCAACCCCATATCCATACTCACATCATAATAATCACGCCAAGCAAACCCATTTCACAAACTCTCATGTATAAATGCATATATATACACACACACACACACATCCACATAAAGCATGCCATTACATACCATATACACATGCTTTCATCAATTAAACCATAGAAAACACTCGTAAAACCTAAGAGTGACTAAGTTAGACATCCCTTACCTCAAAAGAGAGAAAATCCAAACACCCCCAAAAATGAAAATGGCCCAATGAAAATCTGAAACCATAGCTTTGTAGAGCACGACGAGCCCGACAAACTTTCCTTCTTCACTTTTCAAAATCAGATTGGAAATGGGGTTAAGAAGGAAAGAGAAAGTAGATCACAAAGTGGGCTTAGAGAGAGAAAGAGGAGGGAGGAGCTTTGGGCAGCAAAGGGGGTTTTGTGGCCTCAATTTGGTCAACTCCCACCTTTTATACTCCCTCTCTCTCTCTCATGTCAAATGACTCTCTTGCCCCTCCTTTAGTTGAAAACCCAAAAACGCCCTTAAGTGAAATATAGAACTGCACTTGACCAGTGTTAAACCCTTACAATGACGCAGCCAATTCAGAGGTTCACTCAACTCATGATGCAGCCAATTTGGAGGTTCTTTACAATGGGAAGTTCTCATGCCTTCAGAAGGATATGGGGAATGTTGTGTTGGCCAGTGTTAAACACTCCAGCGGTAAAATGAAGAAGAGCAAGCCTGTGATTGTATGTGACAGGATCATGAGAAGTAAAGCTGAGGGTGGTACAATCTCTATGATTGGATCATGGAATGTTCAAAGCCTGAATAGGCCTCGAATGCAGAGGGAGGTGGCTAGCTGGTTGGCTTCTTCCTCTTGTCACTTGGTATGTTTGTTAGAAACAAGGGTAAGGGAGCATAAGTTTGCTTCTATTTTCTAGAGAATTAAACCTAGATAGAATTGGGTTAATAACTACTCTCATCACCCTTTGGGACAAATTTGGATTGCTTGGGAGTTGGGACCCTGCTTTCTTTATTGTGGATGTTGAGGTAGTTAAGGATCAATGTATCCTTAAGGTAGTTTACATACAATCACATAAAGTTGTCTTCCTCACCCGTGCATGCTACTAATGTGGTTGCTGATAGGAGAGTTTTATGGGATGACTTGAGAACTATGGCTTCCTTAGCGATTGGACCATGGTTATCTTCAGGTGACTGGAAGGTGGTCAGGTCTAATGATGAGAAGAGGGGTGGACTCAGAATTCCTAGGAGCACCTTGATGAGTTCTCTTATGTTCTTGCTGAGATTGGTCTGGATGACTTGCCTTGCATTAATGGTGGCCTAACCTGGTGTATAGAAAGGGCATCCTTAAAAGAACCTACGCCAAGCTTGACAGGGTATTCGTAAATGGTGAATGGCATTCTGAATTTATGGACTTTAACGCTATGCTGGTTGGTAATGAACAATATGCTTTTATCAAGGACAGGAGAATCCAAGACAACTTATTCATGGCACGTGAGTTCATTACAGGCTTCGACTCTAAGCATCATCCCTCAATTGCCCAGAAGGTCGACATTAAGAAAGCATACGATTCTGTTTCATGGGCCTTCTTGCTTGATCTTATTCACAGGATGGGGTTTGGTACTGGTTGGATTCAGCGGACTCAAACTCTCTTTATTTCTGCTAGGTACTCTGTCATGGTCAATGGCTCACCTTTTCAAGCCAGGTAGGAGTTTGATACACTCTCCTCTTCACTTTGGTAACAGAGGTGTTGTCTTCTATGTTGGCTGCTGAAGTTGCCAGAGGTTAATGGACTCTTTCTAGAGCTGTGCAGAGGACTAACTCTCAGATTTCTCATCATTTTAAGCTGACAACTTACTCCTGGTCTGTGATGCTGATGTGCACTCCATTGATTCCATCATTAAGGTGCTTGCAGACTTTTAGAACTTAATTGGCCTTGGTGTCAATAAGGAGACGAGTGTGGTGGCGTTTTCTAAAGCGGTGAGAAGGAAAAACCAATTCTTGAGGCTTCTGCAGTTTAGAGAGGGTAATTTCCCTTTGCCTTACCTTGGTCTACCTTCAAGCATTTATGGTTTGAAGAGGAAGACGAGTGTGGTTGCGTTTTCTAGAGAGGTGAGAAGGAAAAACCAATTCTTAAGGCTTCTGCAATTTAGAGAGGGTAATTTCCCTTTGCCTTACCTTGAAGAGGAACAACTACTCAGGTTTACTTGATAAGATTAGCTCCAAGATTTCCACTTGGAATTCTCAGCTGCTGTTTCTTGCTGGTTGGGTTCGATCGTTAAATCAGTCGTATATCCCATGATTCAATACTGGTGCTTGGCATTCTCTTTACCTATGGCTATTATTCAGATGTTGGAAAGGAGGATAGGGAATTTCTTGTGGGGTAGCACTGATGTTAATAAGAAGATGCACTTTCTCAGATGGAATGTAGTCACTACTCCTAAGCAGGACGGTGGATTTGGCTTGAGGTAACTTACTGATCTTTCAAAGGCCGCTAAGTGCTGCTTGGCGTGGGATTTTCTCCTTAGTAAAGACAGCATCTGGATAGCTTGGATGAAAGCTAAGGATGCTCACGATGTTACATTTTGGAACTGCAATCCTGCTTCTTCTCACTCTCTGGTTTGGAGAGAGAGTCACCACTAGAGATAATTTATTGCAGGACATCTCTTTCGGAATTGGTGATGGGAGGTCTATTAATCTTTTTGATGAGCCATGGTGTTCTGGTCTCTCACTGAAGGAGAGATATGGTCACAGAATTCTAAGATTGCTCCCATTTGATAGGTCTGCAAAACTGAATGCTTTGATTCATAATGGAGCTTGGAACTTGTCCTTGCTGCTTGCTACTGACCTGACAAACCTAAGGAACTTTCTTCTCTCTGTTCCTATTCTTGGTGGGCAAGACAGACTATTGTGGAATAATGGAGCTCTCACCTTTAGCAGAGCCTGGGATAAGTGTAGACATCACAATACTATTGTGCAGTGGGCTAAGCTGGTGTAGAACACTAGACGCCCTAGAACTTCTTCCTTCATTCTGCAACCTCAGAAGAAGAGGTTTGCCAGTCCCTTCTATCTGCCATAATTGTTTTCATGGTGATGACTCCAGGGATTTCTACAGAGTGATTTTGTTGTCTCTATGCGGCAGTGGTTTGCTACTTTACTTCATTGGAACTGGCCAGTTGTGCATAACCTCATGCGACTGTTCCTCAGACAGGCTAATGATCTTGCTAGGGCAGTCCTTATTTAGGTTTTTGAGGCTGCCAAGCTAAGGAGGTCTTCCTTTTCTTATAGTTCTGTTATTTGTTTTGTAATAGAGTAGGCATGTCTACTCCTAGCCTTCTGGCTTCTGTTCCTTAGAGGGTATGCCCTCTGTGTTACTTGTACTTTCTTTTTTTTATTTTAAATAAATCCACATCCATTCAGGGGTAAAAAAATAAAAAATAAAAAATACAATTACACTTGATCCACTTGTCTCTACATTTGACACCAATGCCTCCAAATGGATTTTATTTGGCCCTCTACCATTCCCAAGCACTTGGTTTGGCCCGGGTCCACTTGCCCAACTAAAAGAGACAACTCCACAAAGTAATTATGAAAAAAAAAAAAAAATTTAATAATCCAGAAACTCTCGGAAAAGTGAGAAACCATCCCGGACATCCCAAAACACATTCACCACCGGGCATTTAACACATTGAAACACATAGAGAATGGAAAAGAAAACGGAAAAAGAAAATGGGGGTCTACAGACGTGTATTATCCAAATAAGAAAATTGCATGTGAGCCTTAATTGAATTTGAAAAAATTTCAGTAACATTGTAGAGTGAGAAAATAGAAGCGAATGGTTAACCTCAACTCAAGACTACTAGGCAGGGTCATGAGTCATCCATGTGAATTGGAATGAGTGACAGGGCTTAGCGAACCAAACAAGTTTGCGATGGTATCCTAAGGAGATCCTTGATGATTCAAATGGTTCATTGGGTGTGAGTGACAAGGCTACAGGAGGTGGCGCGCTCCTGCCCACTCATAAACGATACTGTAACAATATCTTGAAGTGATCCTCGCCCTTTTGCACGATTACAAGTGGAGGATGCAGACACTTCAAGCAGTCATTCGGATGTGATCAGCCGCATTGCGATCCAGCCATGGTTACGAGTGCTAGGGGTTGTGATGGATGCGTAACTAGACACATTCTCACCCTTATGCTTGGAATTGAAAGAGTATGTGGAATGGAAGGCTAAGATTGCAGGATCTTTGCGATGAGGGAAAACAGGGAATTATTCTCTACCAGAGAATATTTTCTGTTGCTCAAAGCAATACGTCACCATGTGCTAAAAGGACACGTGGAGCTCGAGAATGCCATTGCATGTGAAGGGTATAACGAACTGGTGGAGAGTATTCTATAAATAGAGGAAGGAAGGTGAGAGAAAAGGCGGAGCCGAGGAGGGGGAGAGAGAGGGTAAGAGGGCATTCTTGAGCTCTGGCTGCCTATCCTTGGCCATGGTGAAGGCTGCAGTCTTTGCTCTTTCCAGCATCTCTTTCATTATTCCCTTGTGATTTTATTGACTGATTTCTGCTTTCATCATTGTGAGTACTACTACATTTTTCTCAAACTTTCATTTTGTTCACATATACAAACATCGGTAGAATTTCTAGAGGGCTGATTGATAACTACGAGATGTTTTTGGTAAATTTCTTATCTTCAACAAAAATATATTAATTCGATATTTGGGAGCACCGAATCAGCGGCTTGGATTTGGAATCATAAGAAATTTAGTTAAAACTTTGAACTAACTTAAATTCCAAATCCAAAGCACCAATTCGTGCACCCAAATGCAACATAGGGAACAAAACAAGTCGTTAGAGCAAAGAAAGGAAAAGAGAGAATTTTTTAGAACATTTTCTTGGAATTATCGAATATTTAAGAAAACATGTGTCCTAGCATATGTAGCCACCCCAACAGTGATGTATTGACTGTAGCAATATTTACCTTTCTTGCATTCCTGATCGAAACATGGAACGCAAATATTCACAACTTGAGCACACTATAATTGTGTGACAATGCATATGCGGCACCGTGAGAGAGCAACCCCTGCACATCCAATTCATCATTTCATTTGCCTTGGCCTCCAAGATAACATCCCTGAAATTGGAATAATCAATGAAACCAAAAATAGGTATATGAGATTTTCCAGGTTGAATGATCCAAGGTATCAAAATCTTCTAATACTCAAAATAGCATGGGAATTTTCAAATGAATAAGTTACCTACCTAAGTGTTTTGAAATCTCATTTCACTGTTTTTTATATTTGAAAGCAAACAAAAATTTACATAACTATCCCACTCTATTCTCAGGTTTTGTAAACACATAACTCATACACAAGTACTTTAATAAAGGTGCTTGAATTCAAGGGAAAGAATCTAGGTTTTCAATAAAAGTCATCTACAACTCTCCAAGGATGAGCCAATCTCATTCCAGTATAGTTTTGGGTCCTCCAATTTGACGGGCGGGTGAGACTTTCTGTCATACCAGTTTAACCAATAACAAATTAATATCCAATAGATATTTCACATTGCAATTTCATCTAACGAGAGATAAGATGATAATAGCATCACTGATCATTCAAAAAAATAAATAAATCATTCAATTCATTATCTTACCAATATAACAAATTGCAGCTTATCTATCAGTAGACATAAAAAACCAAAGTGCACACAACAGAAAATACATTTATCAAGAACACACTTAAGAACCTTTCATCCCTGAAATTTAAATTTATTTAACGCTAAATCACGGTCACTTTTTTTTTTTGTGTGTCATCCTACCTATAATCAATTAGTAAAGCTGATTTTAACTCATGCGTGTCACCTACTCCATTCTTAGGAATTCCTAAACAAAGGTGTTTAAGTGCCACTACTTTCACACAATATAGCCTAAAAAAGCATCATCACAAATACATTGTCTGCAAAATTAAAATTTCAACCAACATTGACATTAAGTTGAACAATGGAAAGGCATACAAAATCTTATATGCTCTCCCTATCATGGCTTGTCGTGAAGCCTCTTTGTCAAAGGTAAAATCAAGGGTTAGAAAAGGAAAAGAAAAGACAATGCAGGTATGTTAAAATATTGAAATGCTGGTAAATAAATTATGAGGAAAATCGTACGCGAAACACTGGCCAGCCGGTTCAAGAGCATTTGTAAGATCAAAGCTCGGAATTGGGGTGCCCCATTTTGGACTTTTTCGGGAGAGCAGCTCTAAAACAATTTTCAAATTAAGACTGTTAGCAAAAGTTGTTAAGCTCTTCATAATGCCCCGACCTGCTTGAAAATGTCCAGAGTAGACATACTCCAAGACCTTCGACAATGCCTCGCGATCCACACAATCAGATACTTGACATTTGTTCTTTAATTTTTTGGAGTTTCCGGTTTTGTGTCTTTCATTGTCGTGGCGAGGTAGCAATGCTGGGCATCGCACCTTCAAAATTATGCCATGAACACTAAAAGACTCCTCATTTGTCAAGATGAGATCCAAATCAGTACATTCACTCTCGTTAAGTACTCTTCCGATCTTCTTTCCAAGTTTACTTGGAAATCCGTAGACTCCAAAATGCTTGCGAATATATGCAGCATACCAGCTAGCCCCTGGAGTTGAAATGGAAATATAACACTCTTCAAGTTCATCAATAAGCTGGATTACATTAAAATCCTTTTGACAAGAATATATGTCAAAACCGGAGTGGTGCATCACCTCAGCAAGTCCCCACAAGCCATACAGAAAAATCAAGTCTTCGTGTCCCCAAGGTTCTTCATAAACCCTACAACAAATCCTCTCATGAAAAGTGTGCAAATGGGGGGCCATGGTCGATCTCCTTACATGGACGTTATACTCTAGATGATTCTGTAAGGACCACCTTATAAAGGTCAACAGTGATTTTACGCCTTTACCTTCAGCAACATATTTTTGGAATTCTTGTAGAGCTGAAAAACAGGCCAAATGCATCACGTTCATCATAGTTTGACACCTGTCAGGCAATTGAACGTCTTTTTGAGTAGCAATTCCATTTGGATGATCCAATAGGTATATTAGATACTCCTTCCCCTTAACTTTTTTCTGCAACAATTCTTCCAAAATTGACCTGACTTTGGACGTAATATACTTGCACGGAGAATATATCATCATAAGAACTGATCTAGCTGCTGGTTCGCTGTAAAACAGCCTGGCAGTGCCATATAGATGGTACTGATGTGTCTTATGCATCGAGTCCACAAAGGCTATACTGTTGAAAAGCAAAACAGGAGCAGAAATGCAACAGCAATCAGAACATAAATATAAAAGACCAAGTGAATAACACAACAAATTTCACTCCAAAAAAAAATAAAACCAGAGAACAGAAAAACAGTATAAAAGGTACCATGCACATTGCATCAGGTTGTTGATGCAGAGTTGATTCTCATCACTCTCAGGATTAAAATCTTTGTCACAGTGGGTGGCAAGCCAACCGAGGATATCCCATATGTATGGTCTTAGAATAAGGGAATCTGCATTGAGCCCCTCCATTACTGTGAAGACTGACAGCAAATCTTCAGATTGGCTGGACTTTAGATAGTCATTTAGTAGAAGATTAACCAATACATTGTCTACTCCTCGCTTCCAAAAATAATCATGATGTTGGCCAGGCCATCGAACGATTAGGGCCAAGCGACATGCCTCCACTAACAGATCTTTAGCCACCTTTCCAGATTGGGTACGGCTCATTCCGCGGATTATTGCTTTTATGATGGGCTTGCAGCAAAGCTTCATCAATTGAAAGCAACATTGTTCATCCATCTGAGAAATTGGTAATAATCAATACGTGGAAAAGAGTACAAATATCTAAAAAAGACTGAAATGTACAAGTTTTTACCGATAAAATACGAGCTAACTTAAAGCCCTCAATCTGAACGACTTGAGAATCTGAACAGTTCATGCTATGAACCATCATATTTATTAGCTCTCCATTTTTAAGTAGTTTCTGCCTCCCATTACCACATAAAGCTGCCACAAGTTCAAGAATACAAGCTAATAAACTTAACTTTGAAAAGATTATATATATATGCACACACACACATATGTATTGCTATAAAACAATAATTACCTATAGAAGAATATAACCGCAAAAGTGCAACTTTAACCGGATTAGTTTTCAGACTGATGCCCTTTAAGACTTCCAGAAATTCAACATCATTCCACACACGAAATCTGGAAGGCGGCCACCGCCACAATATATCACTTAAAAGGGAAGCTGTATTTTCGAAATACCGTGCTGGCTTATTCCCACTAGAACAATCTCGAATATTATTGACAAGTTGAACAATTGTGTTTGTTTTGTCCAATATGTTCCATATTTCAGTCTCCTCATCTGTTCTTCCACTCGAAAGTATCATCTTCAACGTATCACTTGCAAGAGAGGCTGCTTCCCATTGAGTATAGGACACTAATGAAGTTAAAGGATGAATAAGTTTCAACGCAAAAGATGGCAATTTTATAGCCATCTTTTGTGCCACTTTTAATGCCGATATCAGCACATTTTCATTCTTCAGTTGAAAAATTATTGTTAGTGCCTCCACCATATCTGAAATCGTACTCTGAAAAAGGAATATGGACATAAGTATGGGATATGTGACCAGCACACAATGTGCACCTAACAAATATTTCCAATAATCCAAGTTTATTATATAATTGTAAATCAAAAATTGTTACTATGTTCTATGAAATATGTACAAGTCGGTATTAACTTGTAGGGTCCGGCGGGTAGCCGGTCAATCCTTATGGTCAAAATGAAGTACTTCAACAACCATAAAGATAATAAAAAGGGAGGTAAAGAGCTAAAGCTCCAAATCGAAACCTAAAGATTACAAAAACTTTCCCATGCCAATCTAAATTCATTTAATTGCTAATACTAAACAATACAAACATGCTTTACAAAATAAATTCATTTTTCTTAAATTGCTTCAAAGAGTTCAATAATTGAGAGTTTTAAATACCTTCAAAAATGTGTTTTTAGATGTGTCGGTATTCAGATAATCGAGATATGCATCAGTTGCGTATACTAATTCCTGTGTCATGATATCTGGAAGATCCCGTATCCTTCCCGAGTCATCACTGCATATGTTATTGGACAAGTAGATTTAGGGAGTACAGTAAAAAGCCAACAATTAACAATCATAAAAGCCGACTTCACAAGATATGCAATACAACAATATCTTCACAAGTTGTATTGTTAGGCTTAATGATAATTGGCATTGAAATTGCAGGGTTGCCAATATCCTCACAGTGTATTACTGCAAACAACAGTCGCATGATCCTAAAACTAGCTTCAAAGCATAAGCATTTTGTATGGACTATATAAACAGTAATATTAAAAATATGCAAGTTAATACTTAAGTGTTTTGCATAAGTGATGCATTATATTCGCTTCTGGGTGTTTCAAGAAATGGGGAAGGGGTGTTGTATCAACTATCAACGCCCAGTGCGGTGAAAAGTGGTAAGGGTTCCTGCATTTTTCTGAAGCAGAATGTGTAAGGAAATTAGTCCAGAATACCAATACTATAGCCAACATTACTTTCTCTCTCTTTATCTCAATCACACACACGCACAGAATTTGTGCATGCACGTATAAGACTGGCACTCAATTTGTTATACACACACAAATGCACAAAACATGCATGTATCCACCTAAAACACCTGCAAACACACCTAACTATCAAACACCCCTTTTCCAAAACAACTGCACACACAAACACTGAGACACGCATCCTTGTGCACGAACGAGATGACCTGAGTGCTTTACCGTACTCCTTCACCTACTCCCAGGATTAATATCCACATTGTCACCATTGATAACCTGAGTGCTTTACCAATGCATTAAGCAATGCTCAACTCAATATAAAGCGTTATTTTTAATTCTTTTTACTCTCCAAGTCAGGCGTATAATTGTTTACCTCCATCTCTATTCTCATTCTCACTGCACTTGCCCCTCTCTCTCTCTGCAACTCCAAACTACAAAATCTACAAGAATCAGAAGTTCAAAACCCATATATTTCAGTATATCTATCTGTCTGCGTCTACAAGAATCAAAAGTTCAAAACCTATTACCTATTACCTATTATCAAAACCCATATCTTTTAGATTGTTCAAAAAATCAAAACCCATATCTTTCAGTTTCCATCGCCCGCTGTCTCTCAACTCTCAAGCTTGCCCCCCTCTCTTTCTTTATACAACTGCTAACTTTTATGTATGGGTTTTGTTTTAAATTTTTTTCTAAATCAACTAATCAAGGTCTGTAATTCTTGTTTTGCAAACTAAATCCTAAAATCAAGTGTAATCTTGATTTTGTGTTAGGGTAAATTTGGCATCAGAAATTATACATCAAGCCTTTCCTTCCATTTCCTTCCATTTTTGAGAGGATAAGAAAGTTACAGTGCAAGTCTTGTGATTTCCTTCAAAACCATCCCTGCCTTTTCCTTTCCTTCCAACCATTTATGCCAAACACAAATTTTTAATCACCCTCCATCACCTTTCCTATCCTTTCCTTTCCTTTTCCACAAATCTAAGTCGCTATTTTTCAACAAAGAAACACGGATATAAAAGTATTCAAGAACACTGACACACACACACACAACAAAAAAAAAAAAATTGTAGATAAGATCAACAATAAACTGTTATACCTGAATGGAAGAAAACGATTGTAGAATTTCCTTCGGAATAAAGCCGCATTGACATTATTGTTATCTGTGCTCTGTTTTGATGATGATCTCATCCTTTCGTTGCTAAATGTTGGGTTTAATTAACAAACAACAAGTAGAAATCAAAATTGATCATCAATTAAAGAGGGGGTTTGATCTCATACCTGATTAGAAAATTAAACTTGAGATACCTTTTTGAGAATTCTTTATCGCCCTTTGAGAGATCTGAAAAATAGAGCGCTTTACCCCCTTCTGAAAGTTGTGATACGATAGAACTGAATAAAGGTTTTAAAAACCCTATATATAACAACAACAGGGGGGGACGGCTTCTTTACAAATAAGCATATCTAAGTCTCCCTTCCTATCATGGAAACTTAGATATTAATGATTAGAATTAAATCACACCAAATAAGTTGGAAAACCACAATCCAACGGTATAAAAACCATACTCCCAATTAGATCACCAAATTGGAAAGTACAACCCAATCCATCAAGTATCAATAATCACATTGCAATCCTAATTTAGAAAACGTAATACGTAGGACCATAAAATAATTTTATAATTTAAATATATATATATAATTCCAATATTCTCCCACTTGGTCCATGGACTCTAAGTTTTATAAAATGACACTATGAATTGCAACACACTTTATAAAAGTCGAGTGGCCACTCATTTTTATTTAGAAAACACAATTATCGAAATTGATGGATTGAAACTTTAGAACACTCTCCTCCATAAACTTCCTCAATAGTGGATCATGAATGTGTAGACAAGTAATATATTAGTCTAAACAGTTCCATGGTCTCAAAACCAATTCCATCTAGGATCAAGCAAATATAGTGGTTTTACTGTATTTCATGAGATATGCAAACTGTATGTGGTCTAAACGCACACCTCACTATCCGTCCTGCTTCATACCATCGTGGTATGTCACCTGAACATATTACAGCAAACTGCCAACCTTCTGTTCAGTGTGAGGGTTTACCGATATGGAGCCAATCTTATATCTAGCCCAAGCTATCCTCATAGAGCGTTAACACTCCCACAGGCAAACTTTAGTAGTTATGTTTGGATTTACCAATGTGGTGCCAATCTCACATCTAGCCTAAACAACTTCATGAGTGCAATATCACTCTCAGGCAACAAGAATAATATGTGCACATATCATATACAATAATGTAATAATAATAATAATGATGATGCATCATAACTTTATTTTCATGCAAACAACTGTCACCATAAGGTGTAAATAAACTGAAAGAAAAACAACTGCAATGTAACATGATGTAATAGAGAAATCAGACATCATAACACAATGACTCTTGAATACCCATCCGAATCACGTGCTCTTTAAATATTTTTGGCTGAAGACCTTTAGTGAGAGGATCTGCAATCATCCTTGTTGTATCTATATGGGGAACCTCAATAATACCTTGTTTAACCTTCTCGCACACGTAAAGGTACTTCACATCTATGTGCATATTACGTTTAGTCAATTTTTCATTATTCACATATTTTGTGACAGCTTCATTATCACAGAAAATTATCAAAGGCTTGTGTATGGAGTCTACAACCTTTAAATCTGCAATAAACTGTTTCAACCACATAGCACGTTTGGTCGCTTCATAACAACTGATCAACTCTGCATACATAGTTGAATCTGCGATAATAGATTGCTTAGAGCTTTTCCATAATACAGCTCCCTGAGCCAACATAAAAATATATCCAGAAGTAGATTTTCTACTAATCGAACAACCTGCATAGTCCGAATCAGAATAACCAACTATCTCCAAACAATCTAATTTTCTGTACACCAAGACAAACTCTTTTGTTCTCTGAAGATACCTCAAAACTTTCTTCACCGCCCTCCAATGAGCAATACCTGGATTTTGCTGAAACCTTCCAAGCATCCCAACCACATAACTAATATCTGGTCTAATGCATGTCATAGCATACATCAGACTTCGAACTGTAAACGCATATGCGTTGACATCAATTTTACTTCTTTCAATCTCATTCTTAGGACATTGTTCTTCTGAAAAAATATCCCCTTTTACAACTGGAACCTCACCAGGTGCATAATTTTTCATCCCAAAAGTTTTTAAAATTTTATTAATATATGCCTTTTGAGATAAACCAAGTGTGCCTGAAGTGCGATCTCCATGGATCCTAATACCCAAGACAAACTCAGCATTACCCATATCCTTCATATCAAAATGACTTGATAAAAAATTCTTCGTATCATGTATCGCATGAATGTCATTGCTAGCTAGTAAGATATCATCAACATATAAAACAAGAATAATAAAACGACTCCCACTGACCTTGAGATATTTGCATTTGTCTCCAACATTCTCCTTAAACCCATAGCTAGTAATCACTTTATCAAATTTCAAGTACCACTGTCGTGAAGCTTGTTTAAGCCCATAAATTGATTTCTTTAACTTACACACTTGATGTTCATGTCCTTTAACCACAAAACCTTCAGGTTGAGACATGTATATCTTTTCTTCAAGGTCTCCATTAAGGAATGCTGTTTTCACATCCATCTGATGTAACTTAAGATCATAATGTGCAACAATAGTAAGAATGACTCTTAAAGAATTCTTTGATGAAACTGGAGAGAAAGTCTCAGAGAAATCAACACATGGCTTCTGCTTAAAACCTTTAGCCACCAATCTACCTTTATATCTATCAACATTTCCAAGTGAATCCCTCTTGGTCTTAAAGACCCATTTGCACTCCACCGCATTGCGATCTGTAAGTAAATCAGCAAGCTCCCACACCCCATTTACATCCATAGAGTGCATTTTATCTTTCATAGCATCTATCCAACTAGAAAATTCATGACTCTCTATGGCTTCATTAAATGAAGTTGGATCCTCATGCTCGCCAATGTCAACCTCACTAACATACACCTCAAAGTCATCAGGTATAGCGGATCTCCGAGTTCTAGAAGATCTTCTAAGTTGATCAGGCTCAGAAAGTGGATTAAAAGGTGAAGTAAGAGGCTGCATATGAGGAATAACTGAATGGGTGGGATTATGAACTTTGAATGGAATCACTGAAGTTGGAATTAAATATGTAGTAAATGGAATAGACATAGAAGATTGCTCCTCTGTAAAAGAGAAAATACGATGATCAAAACTCCCACTGGATTCGTCATTCTCAATAAATTTTGCATGACTGGTCTCAACAATCTCCATAAGTCTAGAGGGACAATAAAATTTGTAACCAAATGATCTCTCAGGATACCCAATGAAATGACAAGTAACAGTGCGAGGATCAAGCTTCTTAATATTAGAATTGTACAACTTTGCCTCTGCAAGACATCCCCACACATGCAAATGTCGAAGACTAGGTCTACGACCAGTCCAAAGCTTATAAGGTATTTCAGGAGCTGCTTTACATGGCACCCTATTAAGAATATAAACTGCCGTTTTAAGAGCTTCTCCCCAAAAATTCTCAGGTAGTGAAGAATGGCTCATCATACTGCGAACAGCATCTTGATAGGTGCGGTTTCTCCTTTCTGCAACTCCATTTTGTTCAGGAGAACCAGGTGTGGTATACTGTGGCACTATACCTTGCTCCTTGAGGTACGTGACGAAAGGACCATGATTCACACCCTCTTGGTCCATTCTCCCATAATACTCACCACCTCGGTCTGATCTTACAATTTTAATCTTTTTGCCTAACTATTTTTCAATTTCAGTCTGATAGATCTTAAACATATTCAGTACATCGGACTTTTGATGTATTAGGTACAAATAAGCATACCTTGAGAAATCATCTATAAAGGTAATAAAATACCTTTGTCCTCCTCGATAAGAAGTAGGAAACGGACCACAAATATCTGTGTGAATAAGGCCTAAAAGACTAGATGACCGACTAGCCTCAAAATTACGTTTCTTCTGCATCTTCCCCTTGACATAGTCAACACATAAATCAAAATCTAAAAAATCTAGTGGTCTTATAATCTCATCCTTGACCAAGCGTTCAAGTCTCTTTCGAGAGACATGCCCCAATCTCCTAAGCCACAACATAGATGAATCCTCTCTAATAAAAGCACGTTTTGATCCGGAAGGTATCGAATCCACAAAAAAACAAGAAGCAGGTATATGAGAATCATCCAACAATAACTGATATAAACCATCAATTAAACAACCATGTCCAACTATATTATTACCATAATGAATAGTAACTGATCCATCACCAAAAGAAAACCGAAAACCCAAAGCATTAAGTCTTGAAACTGAAAGTAAATTACGCCTAATAGTAGGAACATAAAAAACATCCTGAAGTTCTAAGGAAAAACCAGTATGTAACACTAGCAAAATCGTCCCAACAGCTGCAACATGAACTGCATCAGCATTACCCAACACCAATTTCTCCTCAGCCCTAGGTTTTCTCTGGCTTCAAAGTCCCTGTGATGAACAAGAGATATGAACAGATGCACCCATATCAATCCACCATGTATGATTAGGCACATTTACTAAGTTGGATTCAAATATTACCATAGCAATTCCCATACCTGCTTTGTTTTTCTTTAACCAATTTTTGTAGCTGTAGCAGTCTTTCCTTTGATGTCCTTTCTTCTTACAGAACCAACATTCATCATTCGCATTTGCATACTCAATGCCTTTTCCTTTGTTGTCCTGCTTTCCATTTTTTTGAATTGTCTGATTCCCTTTCTTGCTTAATTCCTTTCAACTTGAAGTTATTCCTACTTTTACTGCTTATGGCAAGATGAGCCGACTCAAATTTAGCACCCTTGAGCCGCTCTTCCTCGGTCACACAAAGTGCCAATAGCTGATTAATGTCCCATTTTATCTCTTGTGAATTATAATTTACCCTGAAAGTATCAAAAGATCTAGGCAGAGAATAAATCACCATGTGGACCAATAACTTATCATCAAATGTGATTCCCTGCTCTCTGAGACCATTAACCAGCTTGCATATCTTATAGATATGTTCCCTCACTGAACCACTGCCATCATAACTGGTTGACATAAGTTGTGTCAAATAATAATACTGAAGTTGCTTCTTGATACCTATGAATTGCTTCTTAAGTAAATCAAGAAGCGCCTTGGCAGTATCAAATACAGGAATACCACCACAAATAGTCTCACCAATAGAAGCACGGATCAACCTGATGGCCATGGTATTAGCCTTAGTCCACTTAGCATGCAACAACTTTACTATTTCAGAATCCTCTTCAGTGATTGCAGCGGGTTTCTCCTCATAAAGTACAAACTCATAGTCCAAGAAACCCAACATAATATCAACACTTGTCCTCCAAGTAGTATAGTTCGAACTATTCAATGGTTCAATCCCTGTGAGCTGTCTTTGAATAGCGGAAGCGTCCATAACTTTAATACATGTTATATCAAATAACATAAAAATGAACATATAATATGTTACAGCTTTAGGGATTATTTCTTTAATTCGTGCTTGGGGTTTTAAGCCGAATTATCAGAGTGTTTTACTATATGCAAAATTGTCCACCCTGCAAGAACATATAAAATGCCATCTAAAAAACACCTTTTGGCAGAATTTTAGATTTTATTTTATCCCAAACTTGCGATCAAATCACACATAGACCTATTTGATTATACTTGAATTGTTACTAAACACTTCCACTACCTTTTGGCAAGAAGGTTATTTAGTTATAATCCAAGCACTCTCAAATATTCTACTCACTTATCCCACACTAAGACATTGATCACCTTTTTGCAGAACAAATATCCTCATGTAGGTAAGTTCACTTTGAGACCTCAATAAGACCAATGCCTTAAAATTTAAAAATAATAACCTCCATGAGCGTGTCACTTTTAAGCAGACATCACTCACTTTGACTATTATTTTTAAAACGGTCACTTTACCGGACCTCATAAACGCCAATGAAAGACCTTATCTTTATAAATTCCATTTAATCAAGTATAGCACACTCATGAGGTCATGTAATTTCATCACCATTATATGAGATTAGTCAGTAAGCAATTTAATAAATAATACATGAAATTACTACCTCACATATATAAAATAATTTAAAGAATTAATTAAATATTTAAACATATATCCCTCTCTATATATTATACACAGTATAATTTTTACAGTCAAATTCATTGATTTTATTTCTTGTTTGGCGTGCATACTGATTAACGGAAACAAATTCTAAATCACATAACAAATTAATTCCTTAAAATCATGACAATAATCAATTTATTAAAAACAGACAGTATAAAATCATAACAAATTGATTACTTAAACTTTAACAAAAAAATTAATTCATGCTAACACTCGTCAGGCGTGCATGTAAAACTAATTAAAACAAACTGATTTATACACACATATACAACAAATTCATTAATTTTGGTTTTCGTCTTGTTTGACGTGTACAACAATTTGCATTCCTGGCTACCAAATTGCGTGCATGTAAAACTATTAAAACAAATTGATATATACACACATATACAACAAATTCATTAATCTTGGTTTCTGTCTTATTCGGCGTGTACAACAATACAAAACTCGTACTGTTGCATTCCTAGTTACCAAATTGCTTAAAACTTGTTGATATTTAAAACAATCAAATATTCTCTCGGTCGGCGTGCATTAAATATCAAACAGAAACTTACTGATTATATGAATCAATTACATATCAATACGCAAGTACAAATATCCAGATGATTAAATACCCACAAAATCGAGACACACAAAATTAATAATTTCAAATACATCGATTTAAGTATGTTACATCATAAATTAATCTTCATTATTTTGAGTTCTACAAACCCTAACCTTGCTCTGATACGAATTGTTGGGTTTAATTAACAAACAACAAGTAAAAATCAAAATTGATCATCAATTAAAGAGAGGGTTTGATCTCATACCTGATTAGAAAATTAAACTTGAGATACCTTTTTGAGAATTCTTTATCGCCCTTTGAGAGATCTGAAAAATAGAGCACTTTACCCCCTTCTGAAAGTTGTGATACGATAGGACTGAATAAGGGTTTTAAAACCCCTATATATAACAACAACAGGGGGGACGGCTTCTCTACAAATAAGCATATCTAAGTCTCCCTTCTTATCATGGAAATTTAGATATTAATGGTTAAAATTAAATCACACCAAATAAGTTGAAAAACCACAATCTAAAGGTATAAAAACCATACTCCCAATTATACCACCAAATTGGAAAGTACAACCCAATCCATCAAGTATCAATAATCACATTGCAATCCTAATTTAGAAAACGTAGTACATAGGACCATAAAATAATTTTATAATTTAAATATATATATATAATTCCAACAATAATCTTGAATTTCAAGATTTAAGAGAGCAGTTGAGTGGATTACTGCGACTTAAAGAAAATTATATTAGTGATTGCGTCAAAAAACCCAAAATTATAGAAACCGCCAAAATCACATCCTAGTTTTATAAAATCTCAAATTAAAATCAATCTAAAAACATGAACAAAAAAATTTAGCAATCCAGACCTCTGCAAACCCTAGGATCAAAGGGTTTTGTTGATTTCTGATTCTGTCTTTTTTTCGTCACCTACAAACCCTATGATAAAAGGGTGTTCTGCATTCTTCTGAATAGTCTTGTTTTCGTTACCTACAAACCCTCTGGGATCAAAGGGTGTCTTTGATTCTTCAGACTCCGGTGTTTAGGAGAGAGCGATGATGATAGAGCGGGAAGAAAATAAGCCGTTGGATTTTGCGTTATACCTTTTTTGGTTTAATATAAGTGTTACGTGGCATTAAACCCATAATTTATTTTCTCTTTTTAAAAAACCTCCTTGAGCCCCTGACTTAATATTGCTGCCCCAGCCGGATTCAGTTAAAATGTGTTTGTTTGATAAAATTAAAAATTGATAATTTTAAGCACATAATCTAATTAAACAATTAACACATAGACAAATACAAATAATACATAGACACATAATCAAATAATCAAGTAATACCTAATTCAATTAAACATATAAGCAATTAGTCAAATAATCAATTAAATAATTAAAAAAATATAATTAAAACAAATAAATAAATACCGAGACTATCCTTTTAAAATTAGGGGTATTACACATTTGTATCGAGAAGTTTCTTGGGTAGACTTAGTGACATAATAGGTACCTTCATTGGGAACTCGAGTAAGTTAAAATCAAAACCCTCATTTTTTTTTTTCAAAAATTCATTCTTTATACATTAAAAAGGTCTAGTGATACAATACGTACATTGATTGAGGTAATTTCACTGAAAGATTCAATCTACACTCAATGAAACACGCATCGTGACGTCATCGTCTTTTTTACTTCTTTCATGGGAATGAATGTTCCATTAATTATGGAAAGCCAAATTCTATAGTCTATAGATTAAAGAAAGTCTATCATTATACTTTTGCAATAGCTATAGTTGGTTCTATAAAAAATTGGAGGTTTATCAATACATTGTCCTTCTAGGTGTGTGAATATGCCATTGTTGGCCATGATCGTACTCTAAGACGGTTAAGTCTTTGCGGTAGGAAAAATTTCGTTCAAATGGTCAAAACAAGAGAAAGATCGGTTTTTCTCCCAAGTCAAAAATTTCTTTTGGGAAGATCCAGAATTATTCAAGCATTGCCCAGACCAAATTATCCGGCGGTGCATTCCCGAAACTGAATTCTCAAGTGTCCTAAATTTTTGCCAGACTCTTGCATGTGGAGGACACTTCAGTGCCAAGAAAACTGCTATCATTCAAAGCGGATTTTATTGGCCCTCTTTGTTTCGAGATGCTAACAATTTCTATAAGTCGTGTGAGCATTGCCAAAAGCTCGGATCCATGTCCAGAAGAGACATGATGCCCCTTACCCCCATCTTAATCGTTATAAAGCATACAAAACATTAAAGAACATAACTTAGAACACCCCCTACCTCACAAGAGGATTGTTTCTCTTGAATCCAAAGAAAGCAAAGGAATTTTAAGTTTTCCTTCTAGGGTTATGAAGATGATGATGAGAGGAACAAAAGTGTTTCAAGCTCAAAGGTCTAAGGTGAGAGGAAGGGCCTCAAAATCCATATATGTATCTAAAAAACATATATGTAAAAGTGGCTCATAATCTTTATATAGGTAGCTCAAATGTCATACCCAATGGTCTAGGCTCGTACACAAGGGCTCCTCCAATGATTGCACCATGAGACAACTTTTAATGAGCTGGAAATTGATTAAATTCACACTTGAGAGGGTTCGATCGATTGAACCTATGCTGAGATCGATCAAACTTGGCTGAGAGCTATCAAACTTTGGCTGGATCGATCCTCCCATGGCGGCGCCTTTTTGGACAAAGACAAATCTGAGATATTTTTGAGATATTTTGGGAAAGAGAAAAATGTGGTGGGTGGGGTGGTACATCAGGATAAGATGGAATCTTTTCGATCGATCTGATAAATGTTGGATCGATCGAACATTGTGGGATCTTTAGATAAGGACAAAAGAGCTTGGATCCATCTTGGAGTGCAGAGATCAATCTATGTCAGATCGATCGAAAAAATTATGTGATTGATCAAACTTTGCTAAACTTCCACCACTTGCTTTGTTTTGCTTCCACTTTGCTCCTTTCTTTCATTCATCTCAAGATTGCTTCAATTATGCTCTTATTTGGCTGAATTAGCTTATTTTGGGGATAAGTACCTGAAAATGGAAATAACATGAAATCAATCCAAAGGGAAAAAATAAGATAGATAAAGGTCCTAGAATACCTAAGCTTAACGGGTTTAAATGCGCACTTTTTAGCGCTCATCACACCCCCAAACTTAAATATTATTAGTTCCTAGCAATGAATTAGAAAATAAATAAATGAAAGCAATAAATGGATAACGCCACTTTCGTAGGAAACACGATTGCATTTAGCATATGCAACAAGCCTTTTAAACCACTAGGTTACTCCTAGTGGAAGAGTGAAGTCTCGTGAGGGTTATTGTAATTTTTGAAACTTTAGGGGTATTTCTGTAATTAGGCCTAACCTTAAGGAAGGTAAGTGAAATTATCCCAATAAAAAATTAAGTATCGAAAATTTAAGAGCTGAAATAATTATGGGAAAAAAAAAATTAAAAACTAAATTTTAAGTACTGAAATTTTTAAGTTGTAATAAAAATTTAAAATTTTTAACTTTCACCATTTAGTGATAAATGATGTCCTTATCATTTAAAATTTTAATATATTTTAAGTGGTGCTTACCGTTTTCAATGATATTCAAATTGTGTTATCAAACGCACTTTAAATACTTAATTTGTTCAGAATTAAGCGTTGAATTTGAACTGCTAGTTGATGTCACCCAACAAAAAAGTGACACGTATCTTAAAAAATTCTTTGAAAAAAAATTAAT